TATAATTTTTTATTGTTTTTATATTTTTCAATATATTTATTTTGTTTGTACAAAAAAAAAAAATAATTTTTAACGATACAATAGTCTTTGTTAGGCTTAACATCGACGAAAATTCAACGCGAAGCGACACGCAACGGATAAAAATTTTAACATCCGATACGTTAAACTATTTTTTCGTATATAAATCGGTTATCCGAAATATCAGTTATACGAATAACCCCAGTCCCCAATTGATTCGGAAAATCGACGCTCTACTGTACTTGTATCTGTATCAGCAAATATAGTGGCATTGGTGTTTATATATAAAGTGCATAGAAATTAATTGCGAGGATATTCCATTCTTCATCTCTGTGCAAAGCGAAGTTATAGTGTATAAAATAACTTCAAATAGTTTATCATTAATCTAAATTAATTGAAATATCATTAGACTTATCGACCAGAATTTGTTATCAGACACGTACTTTTGTTTCTTATTGTGAATATAAATTTGGTTTTACAATAATTTACGTTATTCAATATCTATATAAACGTGCAACAAGTTATAGAAAACACCCATTTATAACAAAGTAACGAAAAGGCTGACAACAAATACGCATTTACTGTAAGTAAGCATTAACTTAATGAACAGTAAGCTATTTTTATTTTCTTATAGAATAATTTGATTATATCGTGTATATTTATATTTCAGCTAATAATAAAATTTACTCTGAAAATCGTCATTCTTATTAATGCCAGTAAGTTTATATTACTATACGAGCGATTATATATCATGAGTTTTTAATATATGTACTTTATTTAATTTAAAATATATGATTTTCATGTCAAATTATTAGTGTTTTGCCCCTGTACATCATACTTCTCCTCTCAGCAAAGGAGCCATGCCGGTCATCTATTAACTACTTTCGAGGGAAAATGTTTGAATTGAAATAACGTGACTTCCGGTTTGCAACGGAAATTCAATTATATAGTTACTCTGGCTTTTTACACCTAGTGTTTCCAAACCTTGTCTCTTCTGTTATCTTTCTAGTTCCGTTCTCGACATTAAGGAAAGACAGTCAGACGGACGACAGTGGAAATGCGTGAATGAATTTTTTTTAATTACAGCATAATTATATATTTATATGCATTTAATATATTTGTCTCCTCTGTTTTCAACGCTTAAAATCTCTATAAATATATCGCTGTATGTAATATACTGTATATTATTTTAATTAACGATATAAAAACCAGTTTGTACGTTTTTCGAGGGAAATGAAGAAGATATCGTGTAAGTGAGAAATGGCGCAAGTAAACCTGCTCCTCAAGTAGATCGAGACACTAATCAATACTGTATAATACATTCGAATAGAAAAACGAAGCAGTAAAATTAAGTCATGTTGTTTTACAAAATTGATCAACCGATCGACAAATTCTGCTTCTGTATATATATAACAGCCCGGAAAGTAAAAATAATTCTGTGGAGTACCGAAAAATATGAGTTATTTAAGCGATTGCCCTACTCTAAACCTATAGACATAGACAGCCTGGGTGGCTGAGCGGTCAAGGCGACAGGCCACCGATATGGAACGACGAGGTGTCGATCTGGACGAGGTCGAAAAATTTCCAGGAATATTTCGTGGGGTGATCCGACCTCGTCCCTTACCATTCGATCCCTCCATTGTGGACCTAGCCGAACCCATAATATGCTTGCCAGAAAAGGCCCTCTTAGTGCCCACAAGTCAGAGTTAAAAAAAAAAAAACCTGTTAACAAAACGAAATATAGAGTTCAATCATGATTTGTGTGTACGTAAATACACTGAAACGATGTGTACGGTTAGGGAGAGGTCATTTCACCATCCCTCATCCCAATGTCAGAAATATAACCAAAATAACAGCGTTTTTGTCATATATTTGACACTGGCGTACATCAGAAAGTTTAGATTACAATCTAATTTTAAATCATTATAATCACTTTATTCTTTATCTTTACTATATATTGAGAAAAATGAAAAATTAATTTTTTTTTTTTCCAATTGTCTTTAGGGATGAAGTATTCATCAAGCTTCACACGTGGAGAATATATACACTTTTACCTTTAATTGCTGATGTTAATTTTTGATAATGTAATCTGTGAATAAATAATCTGTCTGTCTTATATTTCTGAAGATTTTTATTTCTTTATTTTAAAATTAGTTTAAGCAATTTAGCTTTTACTCAAAACACGATACCAACCAACCGACAGATCATTAAATTTATAATAACCTAACCGTTTTCTGTCTATTCATAAGGGTTTGTACACGTTATAAAAGCAAATTAAATATAAATTACAAGAGAAAATAAAACCTAAATAATAATAACTTCCTCGTAAAGAAGGTGGCCGTGTCCTTAATAATAATGTTAATGTGCACTAAAAACATATTCTGAGAAATGGTGTCTTATTTAGATTTTACTAAAGTTATGAAAACCCGGAAAACGCACGTGACCGTCCCGTCGACCAGGCGTGAAGCCACCAACAAATACATTTGTTTTCTTCACTCCACCAATGATGGGCCCAAAGAATAAATGTGGAAAAAATACATTTTAGAAATATTTCCGAGTTGTTCTGCCGGGTGAAGTTAGTGACAGAAAATAAATTCCATTTGAAGCCACGGAACCATCGTCAAGGTCTCACCCTTCTCCGTGGGTTTTTTGTTTGTCCAGAAACCCCGTAATGTCTAGGCAGCATCCACATTACGGGAAAAACTGGAATCGCCTCATTTCCACAACAAAAATGGTTATAATGGATTCGGAATCTTTGTCTAAAACTATTATTACGCATTGGAATGATGCATACGAGCAACGCATTACTAAAACTCCATACCTGAAATAAAAGTAAAATCGTAAGTAATCAATCAGCGATGCGCTAATTATGGACACATACTTCCCTTTTGGACGACTTGAAACCTGAAAATAAAAAGATTTCACATTAATAATAACTCTTGCAATTATCTAAAATTGGATTTACACTTATCTTTTAGTTGTGAAGACATTGCCTATCTCGAATTTTTCATATTTAAAGCGAGGAACACGCAATACGAAAATATTGTAGTGGAAGTTAAATCTGAAGATGAATTTTCCACAATAAAAGAATTGTAACAAACGAGATTCATTGTTACTTCATATTTATTATTAAAGCATTGTTTCAATTCAATTGTATTCTAATTACGCGTATTTTTAATATAAAACTATTTAAATGTGAAATTAACATGAATAAAATAAAATAAATATAATTGAAATATTAAAATATGATTTTATTTTTAAAATATTACAAAGTTTTCGTGTTTCCGAATGCACTATCTAGTAGACAGGCAGAGAAGATTCACGTGATGTAGAAAATTTGGTCCAGGCTGGCGCCAAATTACAAAAGAAAAACTATCTTGTCTCGAAAGAACAACGTTAATGTCATTTAATGCAAAATAAATTTAATTGTTATTTAATTATATCATGAAAAGATGAAAAGTACTGTGAGATTTGCAAGAATTGCGAAATAATTACTTATTTGGTGTCGTCATTTAACATATTGATATAATCTACGTATGTCCTGTGGTTTTTTAGGAAATATTAAACAGAAAATACTGTAGACTCTCTTTAATCCGACATACGTCGGACAGGGAGCGCCGGATTACTGGATTTTACATGCGTGTATTGTACAGTAAAAGTATTTGTACTTGATTCAAAGATTAGTGTATCATATTAATCACGATTATTACTGTTCTACCGACTTGCAACAAACAACTAGCGAACGGCATTATACATCAGTGTCTGTTACAAGCGGTAACACGAAAATTTTAATTGCGCTGTCTTGCAGAGTGTCGGATTACCGGACGGATAGGAGAGTGACAGTATTTACCCGCGACCGATCAGTCTACACTCCGATCCATCCCGTAATCCAGTTATCCATCGTATTAAGACTCCACGGTAGTTCATTGTTTTAGTATTAACTCAAAAAACACTTTTAAAAAATAAATTTGCGAAAAATAATGTCGGAACGAGTGGAAAGATTGTAGCAAAAGAGATTCGAATAATCGATTAATCAATTTACATATTCGTGAGCAGAAAAGAAACTCAAAGGAAAGGTCGACATTTTTCGTGTAAACTGTTTTATTCTGATTGGGAAGGACGTGGGCAAACACGAAATTTTTACTCGTATTTTGTCTTCAATTTATAATGTTTTAGATATATTTCGTTTTGGACTTTTTACAATTGTTTCAAGGGAGTTTTTATATAAAATCATTGAAAGATTTTCCATACGTCTGAATTAATTTTCAAAAACGTTTTTCTGAAAATACTAAAATGATTAGATGATGCTCGTCTATTCACAAGTGGAAGGCCTGTTTATTCGTTTTTACGTTCCACGAAATTAGTCTGTAATTTTGCGTATTCGCTCTTAAAATATGATTAACATTTAATGAGTATAGCACAGATTTTATATTTAAAAACATACAAATAAAAATTTTTATGAAATAATGTGTTGATTAAATTGTTTCAATTTGTGAACTAAAAAGTATTCTAGAAAGTATTCTAAAATGCAGGATCACTTTATTAAACTATAATACTGTAATTCTGTTAAATTTTAGAGAATCGACAGTGAGCGAAAGGATAAACCATTTTAAACAGGTTCGCATTTAGAACAAAATACTAGGACATCGCGAGAGAATTGAAGCGGAGTCGGAAGGAAAGAAACTATCCCTGCACTTGTTAGGCACAGAAGAGGCGATTCTTGTTAACAGGTAAACTTTGCACTGTCGCTATCCTCGTACCTGCAGGCAATGGGAGACACGATCCCTGCGCTGGCCAGGTACGGAGAGACGATCCAAGAACGGGCAATTGTTTTGTTCTTGTGTTTTGTTGGATTTTCGCGTCTATTTTCCTTCAGGTACACGCAATACTGTTTTTTTAACACTGTAATACAGTACTATAATACCTCTGTATGTCAAAAACGAAGTCATGGACTCCAATTTTTACTTTCCTGTCTTTGTTATAGATAACAGGGGGAAAGTATGACCATCGTTGAAAAAATTACTCCTTCAAGAATTTTATATTTTTGGACTTAGAACATCTTGAATCGTCGAGAAATGAAAAAACATTCAGAGTGTTTTTTCTGTATGTATGGATGTGAATGGGTGTTGGTGTTTGTCTTTGGCTCGACTTTGTTTATCCTCTTTGAAGCTCAATAATTCCCGTGCTTTCGAAAGTTTTTGAAATTTTGCAGGAAGGTTTGTGTATTAGGGAGCTTAATAATATTAAATTTTGGTAGTTTAAGGTCGACGAGGTGGGGAGATAAAGAGCAGCCATATGTCTTATCTCGAATAGCTTCGGATTTAATGACGATTTTACACGTTATTAACTGAACATATTTTGAGAACGAACACAGTTCTGTAAACCACATAGAAGAAGCCTGACTAACAAGACGGTTAACTGCGTGGAGTTTCCCGGGTTTTCTTCACGTGTAAAACAAGTAAACAGAAGCCAATTCCCCAGAGAAATTTCTCTAAAAGGTAATAAAAAAATAGCCTACCACTTATTGGCCAATATCTTTTGTGTCTTGATGAATTTAGCCCATAAACCATAACCGAAATCAATAAACCGAACGTGGCGTATATGGAATTAAAACAGGTTAAAATTTTTAATTAAAATAAATAATTTATTAATTAATTACATTTTCAAAAATTAACATTTCAATTAACATAAATAATTAATTAAAGTTTAAATTATTCAGATCTTCCATCTTCCAGGTTGTATAAATAACGGATTCCTGTAGAAAAATTAAAAGATAAACAATAATTAATTTCAAATTCACAAATAAAACTAATTCCTCATGTCATTAATTAAACAAGGAAAATGATGAAATGATGCTTTTAAATTAAGTAAGAAAAGCCAATTAACGTGTCTACAATGCTTATTAAGTTAACAGTTGAAATGAATTAAAAATATGATGAGACTTTTATTATTATTTATTTAATTTATTAATTTTAATTCACAGTCGTCCCCTATAACACTGTTGATAATTCCGTTTTATATGAATTCCATGCTGTACGAGTCAATATGTGAGCCGTTCACAGCCCGGCACATGTATTTGTCATGTGATTCGTACAACATGGAATTCATATAAAACGGAATTATCACCAGTGTTATAAGAGGGTAGACTATATTTCATTTACAATATATGCTCTCCATCTCAAATTAATAGTGTCTTGCTCCTGTATATCATGCTTTTCCTGTCAGCAATAGAATCGATTAACTAACTGATTTCAGGGAAAATATTTGAATTGAAATAACGTGACTTTCGGTGCAAACTAAACGTTTGTATATCGTTAATCGGGGCCTCCTGTCCCTAAAGGTTTCGATATATTGTCTCTACTTCTACTTGGCTAACTCCGTTCTCGATATTAAGGGAAGACAGACAGACAGTCAGGCAGACGATAGTGAGAATTTATAGGTCTATAATTTTTTCAAATTGCAGCCCGATAAATATTGTGAAAATCCCGGTATTACTCCACAATATTAAGTGCCGAGCATTTAAATTGCAAATTAAGCAGGCAATATCAAAAGTTCTATGACATTTGTACCAAACTTTCTTTAGAAAACAATAAATATTAATGTGATTAAACACATTTTAATACTAAATTATGCAAAGTAATTCATATCCAAGGAAATATATTATCTAGATTCAGAATTATTCAGTAAATAAATAAATATATCTGTATTATTTCAGAAGTTTAAGCAAAAAATATATAGAATATTAAATGTATACAAATATATAATCAGTAATTACATTAATTAAATATGGTATATTAATGTAGACTTACTTGTTTCCGATGTCAAAAAACATTTCTGTCAAAGAATTTTCTGTAATCTGAAATAAGGACAAATTAGGATTATGGATAAAGTATTTATGTAAAATACTATTAATATTGTATAATAACTTATAACGCTAAGATTAATTCATACCTAATTGTCGAGTAATTATTGTTTCTACGTCCTTCTCCTATTTTCTGTTAGTCATGTTTTCCATAAGTTGCAGCGTGTTTATATAGATATTGAATAGCGTAAATGATTGTAAAACCGAATTTATCTCCACAAGCGAAAACAAAAATACTGCTATCAAAAATTTATAATTTGGAATCTAAACAGCTTAATTTCGTATTGCTATAGTTTCATTTGTACTCTCTTGGCTGTTAGATATAACAGAGAGTATGGCGATCGGTCGAAAAATGACACTCTCCTTAAGATTTTCACAGTTTTGGACTCGGAGGGACCTTGAAACGTTGAAAAATGCAAAAAAAATGTTGGGTTTTTGCTGTATGTATGGATGTGGGGTACGATATTGTTAACCCTGTTTGAAGCTTAATAACTCCTGTGCTTTTTGTGGAAAAATTTTGAAATTTTGCAGTGAGGATTTTTTTATTAGAAAGATTGAGGCTATTAAATGTTTGTGGTTAAAGGTGGAAGAGGTTGGGAGATAAAGTAAGTCCTGTGTATCCCAGACTTAATGACGATTTCGCATGTTATTAGCATTTATAATTTTGTATTTTTTTTAATAAAAAAACTCAACATTGCCCTCAAAATTAAACTTTTTTTGGCATTTTAAATTTAAAAAGCACTCGAGTGTTTTAAAGTACCAATTGCCATTGAATTTCTTTTCGCAACGAAATACGGTATTTTATTCCTTCCATTGTCCTTGAAACTATCACTGCAATTGAGATAATATCCTGAGATTTAGCGAGAAGTAGGTTTTGTTTGTTTGTTAAGTTGTGGCAACGCAACACTTGGCCGATCTGCCTCGAGGAAATGCTTTTCAGGAGGTCTTTTTAAGGGAAACTGGCCCCTATTTAGCGTTACAGACGTGGGTAAAACCCAAAAACCTTCATGTGGCCAACCCGTTCGAGCGAGGTACGAACCCATGACCGAACTCCCCTCCCAGCGTTCAGGGTACGAAGACCGCTTGTCACTGGTGGTCAAATTAGGTTTTGAAATCCATGGAAAGGAAAACGAACCAGAGTAACTGAATTTCCCGTTTGAATCCGGTGTACATCGCCCTTTGCTGAAGAAAAGTTTTTTGTTTTTATTTGCTTGATTAAGGCCTTGTACTGTACGTAAACTAGTGTTTTTAGGTAGTGTCAATACCCTGTATAAGATTTTACGTATAAGATTTATGTTCGCGTTAACATTCTTTGTATTTCGTGCAGAAATGTCGGTGGTCCAGCACGTGTGTCAGCCCGAGTATTGTCAAGCGGAGATTTGAGGTTAATACATTTGGTACTGTGAAATTTGCTGTACATTGTTTACTGTATATAAAACCATTGTTTTCTGTGTTTTAACAACAAGTGTTTGAAGTTATTTTCCAAGACCCAAACCAACAACATTTCACAGTGTGAAATTTCTAATTTACCGCGTAATGTGTAAGGAAAGATTTCCTTATTTCCGAAAGGAAACTTCGAAAACTTTTATACAGCAGTAACTTTAATTTACTTTTTAGAGATCTTTACTATTTGTAATTTTATACGTTTTGATGTTATATTATACGATCAATATTTATTTTTTAAATCGGAAGTCACGGCAATTACTCCCCGCCAAGTAAAAAAGTCAGCGACTGACTATATATACAAGAATCAGAGTTGCCGATTTTCGGGAATCGATTTCTTCGCCCAGCAAACACCTGAAGTAATTCCGAATATCACGTTCGAAAGAAAATAGTTTTCTTAGATAGCGTGCAAAATTTCAAGATTTTCTATTAAGCGGTTGCCGAAATATAAGCAATATCAAAGCTGGATTTTCTTTTTTTTCTTCATCCGACATTGCAGACGCTCGTAGAGAAACGACTACTGGGTCTATAAAGCTCAAATTTTGAACTTAAGATGTTGTCGTTATCAACGAGGTGCTGACTAAACTTCCGGATCGATAGGTCAAAGTTCACGGGGTTTCCCATAGAGATAACTCTGTTTTACGGCTTAATTTCATGTCTAAATATAATCGTCACAGAAACAGTAATGCTAAATGAACATTCCCTTTTAGTCGACTAAAAGGGCTGACTAACTCGAAAGACTCATCGACCATACCCAGTCAGATGCTCTTAATTCTTATTCTCTATTGGAAGAGAAGGGGAATATACGCACTAAACTCTGTGTACAGCACATTGCACATCGTCCAATATCCTCTTATTATGAATTTGTTTGTCATACTCCCGGGGATTGCAACTTCCATCAAATAGAATTTAAAAAGTCACGTTATTACAGAGGTAATATAATATCGTTTGTAAATTCTCTCTCTGACGTGTAGATTCGGGATTTAGAAATTTAGGATATATCAATTGTTGTATTCGTTTTTTTTTATCTTATTAAATCTTGTTATATTACTTTAATACGGGTTTACCTCTTGATTTGATCTTCTTGCTTGACTACACAACGCTCCACTACTAGGAATAGCCCTTCTACCTACATTTATTTAACAGTATTTAAATGCGCATTAATCCGCTAAAAATAGATTAACTGTAGTCAGCATCCTGACGTGATCGAGATCACACGATCTTGATCTTCACTTCCACTGGATTTAGCCATCCTTAGACAACGTAAGTTCTGATAAAGAGCGTGTTGCTAATCACTTCGGTAACGGCCCCTGTATTCTCACACGATACAACCATGAATAAAATTCAGTATTATAAAACTAAACTTATTTTATATCAGAAACACTTTCCGATGAAAGAATAGAAGATTCTTCTGCGACTTTGGAGTGAAAGTTCGAATTCCCAGTTTGACATTTTCTGAGAACTCTGATGTGAAAGTTTGGACTCTGTTCGGAGCTCACAGGACTCCCCTCTTTGAAAATGTCCCATCGAGAAGCAGCATTTTAGACGAAGGAGAGGGATTAAAGATGTCTGGTAAAATCAGGCACGCGAAAATCTGTGTCTCTATAGTGTATTCGATTCGCGTCACCGATTTTACACGTCATTAATTGATGGTTACAATTATATTTGTTAAATATTTAATATTTAACAAATATATAGACGCATATCCAGCCAAGGTCTCAAATTTTCTCTCCCGATTTTGTATTAGATCAGCTCTTTTATATATTTCACTGATTTGAATTTTCTTCTGTCTTGCTAAGTGTTACAATGTTGGTAACGTCCACTTCCTCTTGTATTTCTTTTGGCACTGAGATACCTACGGGAGGACTATCAATTCAGGTTTCTTCGAGTGACTTTCAGATTGGACTCGTTAATTAAACTGCGTATCTTGCTGACTCCAAATCAATGGTGGTCCTGGTGGGTGTTGCATGTCTCCACCGATTGTCTCTTCGAGCGTAATCTTCGAAAACTTCTTTGATTCATTCTATATCTTCCAGATTTTTCGGCCATGGTCTAGTGGAGAGGAAGGAAAAAAATAGAGATTAATATAACACAAATTTTTCTTGAAAGTAGAGAAAAGATTTAAGATGTTCTTGTTTACTCTTCTCGAAAAAGCACACAACGTCTTCGTATTACTTGTAACAAAAAAATAACTTTATTCTCTTTACAATGTGGGAAAAACTCTGGCACAGGACACTCAACAAAGTAAGAATCTCCACAAGAAAACGAGGTCAGTACTGGCACACCAAAGGAATCTACAAATTCCTTTGTTCTTTTGTTTTAAAGCAAGAAAACCCCACCTAACATTCTTACGGGGTTACAAAAGACATCACTGTGTCACATGACAAATTAATTTAGTTTAATAACTGAAATATCGAAATGAATTTATATCACAGAAATTAAATTCACACGAAATAAAATAATGAATTGAACTCAACAAAAGTTATTCTCTCCGTTTCGTCGAAAGAAATTAAAATTGTATTTTACTTTTCCTGCTGATATATAGGCCTATATAACAGAGAGTAAGTATGGCGATCGGTCAAAAAATGGCCCTCCAAAATTTTTGGACTCAAAAAACCCTTGGGCCCACCAGTGGCCAGCGGACTTTGTACCCTGAACACTGGGAGTTCGGTCGTGGGTTAGCGCCTCGCTCGGACGGGCTGGCCACGTGGAGTTTTCTGGGTTTTCTGCACGTCTGTAACGCCTAAATAGGGGCCAGTTTCCCTTAAAAAGACTTCCCGGAAGGCATTTTCCCTAGGCAGATCGCCCAAGTGTTGCGTTGCCATAACTTAACAAAACGAACAAACAGACAAAAACCACTAAAACGTCGAGAAATGCAGAAAATTTGGGGAATTTTTTTCTCTATGTATGGTTTTTTGAGAATGTATGAGTTTGTGAGAGTGCGGAAATGATTTTGTTTATCCATTTTGAATATTTCGTCGTCATCTTGTTGAGGTGCAAAATGCTTTCATCTGTTTTCACGGGGTTTATAGTTTCCATCATAAAGACATCTATCCTTTGCGACAGCGACATCACAGTCTCCGTGTTGGATTATTTTCAACGTGTCACCTGTGAGGCTTTCGAGGAACTTAATCCCAGGAATGGTCTTGTAAAGTATTGGCTTGTAAACAAGGTTGTAAACCAAGGGGGGGCGAAAGAAGAGCCGACCTTGCTAATTGGATCCACGTGTGGTCCGATGATAACCACTTGCCAAGTGGTGAATTCCTGGCAAGTGGTCGGAACAAATGAGTCGAAATATCGGCAGACGTAAATATAAGCTTCACTATTATCCGATAAAAGAGGAACTGGGTGAAAGCCAATCGCGCAAGGATGGTTTATGATTGGTCAGAAAGTATTCGTCCAGGAAATCGTTAAATTGCGGAGCGAACGGAAGACGTGGAGAAAAGAGCAAGAGACTGGGTACACGGTAGTCTCAGGCACTTGGGAAGCCCGCTAAGGTTAGAGAGAGCATATCCCTCTGGTAACTATATCATGGACGAGTAAGTGCTGAGGCTGGACGAACCGTGCAGTTGAGCAACTCCACAGGCTGACCGAGGCCTCTCCAGAGTCTAATAGTCCCCGAAAGCCAATCTAGTACGTGAGACACTACGCTTTGAGTATCCTGTATATACTATGTTTCCGAGCTTGTACACTCTACATATATGATTTGTAAATAAACTGTAAAGATTGTCTAACTTGAGTGTGAAAGTGTTCTTTCAACGAACCTGGATCACATCCTAATTGAGTCGTGACAAATCAACTCAACGAGACAGAGTTTCGGGAAGAACTTCACAGGTCTTTCTCCACGTAATCTCGACAAGTCCTCACAAGAGATCTGTTCTCTGCCGGTGTCCTAAACACCAAATGATGACTTAAAATGGATACAAGTCTTTTTCCATGGTTTAACTATTTGCACGAAAGCAAGATGTATGATCCAGTTGATTAAAGTCCGTGACAGTACTAACCGCACCGCACAATTGTCATATTGACGATATGATTTAATTTGAGTAACGTCTGATGCTTTTCTGTAAAGTACGGTAGTATCTGTCTACAGGTACTGTACCGTATGCCAGTCGCTAGTTGTTTGTTGCAAGTCGGTAGAACAGTAACAATCGTGATTAATATGAACCAAGTGTTTTTTTTTTTTATTGTACAATACACGCATGTAAAATCCAGTAATCCAGCGCTCCCGGTCCGATATATGTCAGATTAAAGAGAGTCTACAGTATTTTCTTTTTAATATTTCCTAAAAACCATAGGACATACCTAGAATTATATGAATATATTATTAAATTACCATACCAAATAAGTAATTATTTCGCAATTCTGGCGAATCTGACAGTACTTTTCAGATATTCCGGATATAATTGTATAACACTTAAATTTCCTTTAGATTAAATTACATTAATATTGTTCTTTCGAGACACCTTAGTTTTTTTTTTTTGTAACTTGGTGCCGGCCTGAACCAAAGTTTCTACATCACGTCAGGGCCCGCTCTAGGGGAGGACAACCCGGACATTTGTCCGGGTGGCAAATCTAAAGGACGGCATTTTGGTTGCGAACGTGACAAAATATTTATAAGTTAAATACTTAATTAATAGAAATTTATATTTGTCGATTTTTTTCTGTGGCTAAAATTACCACGCAATTTACATTTCGTATTTATTATTTTTGCCTAAAAGCTAAGAAAATATTTGCATTCCTTAATTCTGAAGAAAACAACCATAAAAGAGGGCTTTTGGGCAAAAAGGAAAGCATAAGCAACAATGTTAAATTTTGTCCCAAACCTTAGTGTCACCTTAAGAATACTGGCGATCATACCAATAACTGTAGCTAGTGGGGGAAAGGAGTTTCTCTAAATAAAAATTAATTNCTATCCAAGCTGGCTCTACGACATTTACACATAATGATATTGAATGGCCCCTTCCCTATTGTGACTCAACATTTCCAGGCAACCCTATTGTTAACATCTCTGAGAACATCACCACTGCAGATATGGACATTTACACGGATGGTTCTAAGCTTGACGGTGAAGTGGGCTGCAGCTTTGTTGCCTATACAGGGTGCATCGAGACTTACAATCAGAAATATCGTCTTGACAAAAACTGCAGTGTCTTTCAAGCAGAGCTACTGGCTATCCAGATGGCCATTGACTGGATTAATGATAACTTCTACAATATTGTAGTACACATCTATACTGACTCGATGTCTGCCTGCAACATCATCCACAGCATGAAACCGCACCCTGTTGCAGAGAATATTAGAAATAAAATCAATGCCTCTAGCTGCACCTTTGGTGTGTATTGGACTAGATCCCACCAAGGAACTCCCGGTAACGAGAGAGCAGACTCTCTCGCTAAAGCCGCTGCACTTGACCCCACCATCAGCATCTCTTACCGCAAGCTTAGTCGTAACACCCTTCGGACCATTCTCTGGGAAGAAGCAGTCAACATCTGGCAAACCACCTGGAATCAGAACAACCACTGCATCACTCACAACTTTATTCCGAACCTACGTGACTTCCTAAGTTTGGACTGGTATACGCCGGATTACCATATCTCTCAACTACTTACTAACCATGGAAAATTCGCGAGCTACCTATACCGGTTTGCTCACAGAACTTCCAATCATTGCCCTACATGTCTCGTTGAAGATGGCACCAAGCACTACCTTTACGATTGTGTTATGATGGACAGTGAGAGAACTGAACTCCGTCTGTTACTTTATGAGATTGGCATTGAATGGCCATGCCAGCCTAAAGACATTTGGACTAACCGTGAAATCTTCTCCTCTTTCAAAAGACTCACTAGGAAAATAACCCATGTCACGCACCAAATTATCAACTGCTAACATGTATTACTAATCTACTTGTAATAATTGTTTATTCCTAAATTCTACTAAAGTATCGTGTATTGTACTATTTCCTATTTCCTACTGTAAATAATTGCCATGATATGTATTGTACTGCTCGCAATCCTTATGATGTATCTGTACTCTAATTGTCGCGAAACAAACCTTATATGTATTAATACTAACTATTATAATGTATTGTAAAATGACCTCACGTACATATTGTATACTTCCTCCCTGGTAATGCTTACTGCGGGGCCAGGGCATGTACATTCTTTATTTGTGCCTTAATAAATTGATTGATTGATTGATTGATTGATTGATTGTATATCTATCTCCCATCTCTTTACTTAATAAGAGATCTTAATAGTCTTTAAGCAAAAGTAGTATACATTTTTCAAAACGATAAATTTTCTTTTGATTTTGATACAGTCGATGTACCAAAATAGTGTTTAGTTTTTATAGAATATAAGTTTTTTGTTTAATTGTACAATAATACATTTTTGTAATATCATTAAAAATGCATCTAGTTAACAATTTGTAACTAGGTACAGGTATATTTTCATTTTTACTATTTTGTATTATTTGATTGTTAATTTTATATTACATGTTTCTCTCTAAATAAATTAAAGGGGCGGCAATTTGTCTTTTTGTCCGGGGCGACATAAATGCTTGAGCGGGTGCTGATCACGCGAATCTTTTCTGCCCGTCTACTGCGTAGTGTATAAGCACTTGTATTCAGAAACATGAAAAACGATGTAATATTTTTTAAATAAAATCATATTTTAATATTTCAATTATATTTATTTTATTTTATTTATGTTAACTTCACATTTGAATAATTTTACATTAAAAAACGCGTAATTAGAAAAACAATTGAATTGAAACAATGCTTTAATAATAAATATGAAGTAACAATGAATCCCGTTTGTTAGGATTCTTTTATTGCGGAAAATTCATCTTCAGGTTCGACGTCCACTACAAGATTTTCTTATTGAGTGTTCTCCTCGCTTTAAATATTAAATAGGCGATGCCTTCACAACTGAAAGATAAGTGTAAATCCAATTTTTGATCATTGCAAGAGTTATTATTAATGTGAAATCTTTTTATTTTCAGGTTTCAAGTCGTCCAAAAGGGAAGTATGTGTCTATAATTAGCGTATTGCTGATTGATTACTTATGATTTCACTTTTATTTCAGGTACGGAGTTTCAGGTAGTGCGTTGCTCTTATGATGCGTCATTCCAATGCGTAATAATAGTTTTAGACAAAGAGTCGCATACATTATCGACATTTTTGTTGTGGAAATGAGGCGATTCCAGTTTTTCCCGTAATGTGGATGCTGCCTAGACATTACGGGGTTTCTGGACAAACAAAAAACCCACGGAGAAGGGTGAGACTTTGATGATGGTTCCGTGGCTTGAAAGGGAATTTATTTTCTGTCACTAACTTCACCCGGCAGAAGAAATTAAAATTATTATTATTAACACTAAAGCCTTGTACTGTTAATAAAACAATCAAACATAACTCACGTAATCCAGAAAACATGAAAAAGAACACATATATCATGGAACTAAAAATATAATTATATAATACAATATCAATTATTAAAAACAAAGAAATTGAATTTAAAAAACTAGATAGTAAGTTTATACGTAATGATTACCCTAAACTAAAACTAAAAAAATGGCATAAACAGTACTCGACCAATAGATATAATAGAGGAGAAGGTGGTATTATGGAACCCCAATTACATTTTGGTGAATTGTAAACAAGGTATCATAACTATACCCACATTTTTTGTACGAAAAGTACTGGTAACTAGTAATTTAAATGTTCCTAATTGGATTTTACGCTAGTGTAACTATAAGTATGGTTTTTGAAGGCTTTTGTACAAAAAGTCCGAAAGTAGGCTTAGAGAAAATCCGGTGGTAATATGGAACCTTACTGTATATTTTCAAAAAAAATGCTTTAATGTAGCCAAAAACAAATAGGAAAGGACAAAAAATGTTAAATAATTACAAAATTATTTACTCCAATGTATTTTATCGCAAAAATGCTTTTATAATAGAAAAATATGACCTCCATCAACAATATATATTCCAGCAGCTCTTTTTCGATATTTTCAGACTTTCTACCTAGTGTCTTTTTCCCAAATTGCTCCGGACGAATGTCTGATTGCAAAGAGAGAGTTCGGAGGAGTTGAGTTCCATATTACTGTAAAAGCACCAAAGGGGTCCGTATTTCACGCATCGCCATCTCGAATTAACTTATGTCTGTCGAGACCAAAATTTAAAAAACGTGAACATCACACAGATTAATATGTACCCCTAAGTCTCTGGAACGGAATACATGCACCAGTGAACCTACAACTACGCGATTTATATTTTAAAAATAATTAAATTCACTTAGCATTCAAAACTTGTGAATTTTGAAAAAAACAAATTTGCTGATTAAATACGGACAACCGTTTAACTGAAGTAAAACGGGTTTTCCCCTTGCTATGGATGTCTGCCTAGTTCAGTTCAGCCACATTCCGCTACAGTTCGCCTTTATTATCAGTTCGAAATGGGGTGGTTCCATAATACCCGCAGTGTTCCATAATACCACCTTCTCCTCTACTAAATACAAACAAGAAATGATAGAATAAGCTGAAGCTGATGATGATGATGTTGATGATGACAAACAAGATGAAAAACTTGAAACCTTCCCTTACAATCAAAATATTTTTGAGAATTGCAATATCCTCAATAAGAAAAATATTAGTTGGAAGTAAAATAAAAAATGATGACCTTAAAAATGTGGGAACAGTTTATAAAATAGAATGTAATTGAACAACCCAAGAACACATATCGGCGAAACAGGTCCAACATTAGAAAAAAGAATCAAAGAACACGAAACCGCTATCCTCCTTAAATACACCATGGTATAACCACACAATAAACAACTGTCACATTAATATAAATAATATAAATATTTTACTTATCGAGAAAAATATTTACAAAAGGAAATTCAAAGAACATATTAAAATAAAAAAACAACCTAAAGAAAAACTAATTAATATTTTTGACGGTATGGCATTCAACCCTCAATGGTAAGAGAACGTTTTATGTATGTTTATGGAAAACAAGGATGTGAAAGTGAAAAACTTTGTTATTTCTCTATGAAACATTCAAGTCTTTGCAAAAAAAAATTTTATACAATATACAAATAATGTCGGGTTCCTAACTGTACTGTTTTTTTTTTAATACCAGTGAAGAGGGGTTGTAATTTTACAACAAACCGAAATGCATTTGTATACCACTCGTTCAATTTGTGCAATAAAGTCTTAATTTTCTAACCGAAAGTGTTGTGGGACTGTCAATCAAACAGTTTTTGGATTAAAGTCACTTCATATTATATATATACACCCTATATACTAACAGACCCGGCCACGAGTTGCTGTGGCTCAAAATGTATTCTCTTGACGTATCCTATTAAAACGCAATCAAAATCGCAAAAAACCGCATCTAAAATAGTGTAATAGAAGCCGAATTTTTCACGGTAAGCCTTAATCCTGTCTCTCTCCCCCTCGGGAAGAATTTCAACATCTAAATTATATAAAAACACGCGCGAATTCGAATGGGACGTTGTGTGAAAATTTCAAAGCAATCGGTGAAGCACTTTCGGAGATTTAAGATTCTGAACAAACGAACCTTACATTTTTTATTTATATAGATAGAAAGAGAGAATATACATACAGCATCCATATCACGATAAAAATGAGTATGGTGTACAGGGGCAAGACTACAAATTTTAGATGGAACAAATGTATTTTAAATTGAATAAGTTAAGAATATGATTAAAAATTACAGCCCGGCATCGTTAGCATTACACTTACTCTAAATATGACAACACTCTTAACAACTGATTTCATATGCATGTATCTGTATCAGCAAATATCGTGGCATTGATGTTTATATATAAAGTGCATAGAAATTAATTGCGAGGATATTCTATACTCCATTCTTCATCTGTGCGCAAGACGAAGTTATAGTGTATAAAATAACTTCAAATGGTTTATCGTTAATATAAATTAATTGAAATATCATAAGACTTATCGACCAGAATTTGTTAACAGACACGTAGTTTTGTTTCTTCTTGTAAATATAAATTTGGTTTTACAATCATTTACGTTATTCGATATCTATATAAACGTGCAACAAGTTATAGAAAACAAGATGTCATTTGTAGTAGACTAACGAAGGGGTTGAGAACAAATAATTCTTATTTAACAGCTGATGCCTAACTTAAAGAGCAGTAAGCTGTTTTTATTTTATCATAGAATAATTTGATTAAATCGTATTTATTTATATTTCAGCTAATACAGTAGAGCCTTGATAACCCGGCACTCCGGATAACTCGGCCACACCCTGGAAGGCAAAAAAATCCTTAGTTAATTAATTTTCATTATAGACAGCTTTATGCCTCATAAAGTATTTTTCTGGGGTCTGTCTTATCAGGTAAATTACTGTACACAGTGTATTCATAAATTTTCATTTTCAAGTAGTAAAGGCTCTATGCCTTCATAAAGAACTTTTCCTTTGTTTTAAGGGTATTTGGGTAGTTTATTCTCTGTTGTATTCTCAAGTAAACAATACATACAAGTACAGTACAGTATTTTCTGAGGAAACACCCATACTTAATTTTTTTTTAACTCCATTCCCGATAACCCGGCATTTTCACAAACTCGGCTACCCTTCGTTCCACATTAGGCCGAGTTTTCGAGGCTCTACTGTATTAAAATTTACTCTGAAAATCGTCATTATGTTTAATGCCAGTAAGTAAATCTATATTACTATACGAGCAATTATTTATTGTGAATTTTTAATCATATTTTTAATTTATTTAATTAAAATATACGTTCTTCGCCTCAAATTAGTAGTGTCTTGCCACCGTACATCATACTTTTCCTATCAGAAATAGAGTCATGCCGGTCATCTTTTCTCAACTTTCAAGAGAAGATTCTGTTGAATTAATTTTTATTTTTTCCCTTTCTCTCTCCTCTAGACCATGGTTGAAAGAGTCGTTCGAGATATTTCACTTCCAAGAACTTCCGAAGATTTCACTCGAAGAGACAATCGGCATAGACATGCAACACCCAATAGAACGGGACGATTCATCAGAACCACCATTAATTTGGAGTCAGTAAGACACGCAGTTCAACGAGTCCGATCCGAAAGCCACTCGAAGAAGCCCGAATTGATAGTCCTCCCGGTAGGTATTTCGGTGCCAAAAGAAATACAAGAGGAAGTGGACATTACCAACATTGTAACAATTAGCAAGACAGAAGCACATTTAAAGTTAAAAAAAACTTCACCTAGACAAGAAGGTACAAACCACTGAAATAAATAAAATACTTGATCTAGAACAAAATCGGGAGAGAAAATTTGAAACCTTGGCTGGATATGCGTGTGTATACCTGTATATATTTAGCATTGTATATATATGTATGCAATTATGCAAATAATATTAAATATTTAACAAATATAATTGTACCCATCAATTAATGACGTGTAAAACTTGTGACGCGAAACCGAACACACTATAGAAACAGATTGTCGCGTGCCACATTTTATCGGATATTTTTAATCCCTCTCTTTCGTCTAAAATGTCGCTTCTCGACAGGACATTTAGAAAGGGAGAAGTCCCGAGTTTTTAATAAAGTCACTTATTCTGTTGCCTGTTTTTATCATAGTATTAAGATATTAGAGAAGTATCTGTGTCACAGTACCCAGAATATTTATCACCATCAGTCTAATAGAATATGATATCGCTAGTACACTGGATTATTAAAACGAGAAACAAATTTCGGAGGAAGGCAGGTCGTAACTGCACTGATTCTGAGGGTTTTTTTTTTGCCGGGTACTTCATATAATAAAAAATTTGGATGGAATATAGTGTCCTTTCTGCAATTCCTCTAAAGATTTATGAACATTAATGGTCTATGACGTTTGAATTATTATAAATTTAATAACTTTTTGGTTGACAAAATTAAAAGATGGATGTACCGTCAGTACAAGATTTTTTGCTTACATCTGTATACTTTCATGGTTAAGATGCAATATGATATTAAATTTCAATTCAAATTCTGTCTTTTACTGTTATATAAAAATTTATATTTATTAAATAAAGCACAAATAGATATATCTTCGTTAGCTTTATACTGTCATCTATCGCTTTTGCTACGCAGTTCCTTACCAATTTGCATATTTTTATACTTAAATTTTTAATGTGCAGTTATCGTGGAAGGCGGAGAGTTCAGTCTGATATTTCAAATCTGCTACATGTTCTTTAAGTCTCAATTTTAATTTTCGTTTCGTTTCTCCTATGTAGAACTTGGTACCATTACAGGTACATGGGATCTTGTGTACTACGTTTTTTGTTTCTTCTTGCGGTTCTTTCCTTTCTTCGTTAGTCGTTTGGCTTTAATTCTAGACGAAAGTTTTTCGTATTTTGGGGCGAGTTTTATGTTGATCTTTCTTGTTTCTTTATCTATTTCTTCGTACAATCCTTTGATATAAGGGAAACTGATGTACTGTATTTCATTTTTGAGTCCTCTCTTTTTTTTCCGTTTTATGAATCTTTTGGCTGTTTATCTTCCTTTCCCAGGCATTTATTATTCTAAAAGAAATTTCCCCTTTAACCGCTTATGTTCTTAGTTTTTTTTTTTTTCATTTATAGCTTATAAATGATTTGGTCCCTTTTTGGATTCTGTATTTTTGTAAGGTACTCTTCATTCTTCTAATTTTAATGTATTTAAATTGTATTGCAGAATCTCAGTATTTCTCTTGTTGATATGACTTCTGCAATAGATTTTGGTAGGGATAAATGTGTAAGCTGTATAAATATGTATTCGTCCATGATACCCAGTTTATAAATAATCCCGAGGTATGTTCTAAAATATCTTTACCACTTGTATATATTTTTTAACTTTTTTACGTACTGTATGTATTTTTTAAATATAATTTTAGTTGGCTGAAGAGGAGCATGTTACATCCGAAATCAACTGAACTAAAGATGATAGAACTCCAAGTGTTGGAATTTATTACACTACATAGTGCGTAAAGAATGAAAGAGGAGTCACAGCACGGTTTCAGATTATTATTAATAATCTATCGGTTGTTTGGTATTATGTTTCGAGTTCAAGTGCATCATGCGATTGTTTAAGACCAGGATAAAACCAGTAAACACTGGTTGGTCGTTGATTCGCACCTCACCAATGGGAATGCCTTTTGGATATTTTAACGTGTGTAAGCACTACAACAGATACCAGTATCCTATATTTTCATGCACTAAACATTTTCATGCACTAAACACTTCAATATGTGCCATTTTTTTAAATAGAAAGTCCTCTCTACTGTATGGCATATTGTCACGTGTTATTTAGCCATATTCCATCAAAACACAATATATGCCACGTGTAGGAACTTTGATTGCGAAGTTTTATTATATAAAATAACTTTAATCCATTCGAAGTAATTATAACTTCTACATAAGAAAATTACGTTATATATTTTATTTTAACAATAAAAATTCAGTTTTTCTCGTCTCTGTACCATGCCAATTCGTATAATAGTTGATCCGATAATTTCCTATTTTCATTAGAAAATATGTTCTTTCCGGTTACATTATTCTTCCTAGAACTAAAAAATTTCATCTTTGCTTCATTTTCGAGTCTTTTTAATATTCGTAACTTCTCACCCCATCTTTTATCAAAATTAAGATACGTTTCTATACATAAATGGCGTATTCTCTATGGGAAAAACCATTGTTAGTATAAAATATTAAAGCATTAACTAAATAAAACGAACTCTTACATTCAAATATTCATTGTTTAGCATGTGTTTCAGCACATCCCATTCCGAACCTTTGATATCCATCTTCAATACGTCAATGGTTTCATTCTGATGCCCCAAGAGATCAATAAAGTAATCGAACGTTCTAAGTCTCCACGTCTTGTTCTTCTTACGTACTCTAAGCGCATGATTTTATCTAAATTTTGTCGATAATATATCTTAAAAAATACTATTTACTTACTGATTTTCATTGACGTCCGATATTCCCAAATTATAAAACGAGATCTTCTTGCTTCGATTATGGTTTTCTAGACCCATTCCAGGATCGAACGAGTATACTCGACATCCATACTTTTCCATAGATTCGTCGAAAGACCAGTCACTATTTATCCTGTTTAGTTAAAAATAAATGAAATATTTTGGATTTCTGTATTACAGAGTGGTTCGAAAGTCAGTTAACCATATCTTTTTGTTAACAATTTAGCAATTTATGATGCCAAGAGTATCGTAATTTACGTATTAAACAAGGAATAAGTTGGTTCACACTTCACCAACGTGGAGTTTTTCGGGTTTTCTCCACGTCTATAACACCTGAATTTATCGTAGAAAGCCCCCTTGGCAGATCGCCCCTGTGTTCCGTTCCCTGCTTCTATCAATCCTAATAAAACAATTTGAAGAAGGTAAAAATTCGATTTAAAAAACGGTTTACTGACTTTTGATCCGCCCTATATACGTGTTAAATATAATTTAATTACCCAAAAGAGTAGACGATGCAGTTCGGTCGAAGGCCAGGCCCTGGCTTGAGACACACCACCTTATCTTTGTCTATGTGGTGTTTATCATCAAGTGCTCCACCCAGGGTCAAGGCAGCTCTGCATAAAGTGGGTGGATGACGTATATAAGCTAGTAGAGAATCTAAAGTATCTATACAAAGCAGACAATCCCAAAATTTTTTACATTAAAAGCCTTAGAAACAAGGAAGCGTAGAATTAAATAAACGAAAATTTTTACCTAGATTCCGTAATGACTCATCATACCATTCCAAATATAGAATTCTCAAGGTTCTACAACCCAATAATAGCAACGCTATAGAACATATCAAGAAGGGAATTATCCATTTATGTGTTGTCAATTTATAGAACAATATGGATTGTACGGTCCTTCTAAATTTCACTTTCTGTCTGTAGTTAGCCATTAGATAAACATATCAACAGACTATTCTTTATTGTAAAACTCGACTGTGTTCAACCTACTTTTAGACCGGTTGTATTCTAGTCAGAGGTCAAAGGTCTCGCTCTTCTTCATACGTATTGCTGCCCTCGAACATCATCATCAACGACACTTGTTCTCTATTTAGAAATCTTACTAATTTAGATTTTAGAGGTGCAGAGAAGAGATAAACACTGTAATAATTTAATCACTACTCACTTTATTCTGCACCTGGAGGGGTCAATAAAATTGCTGAACGTGTCTACTCTCTGGTTAATTTACTTCCGGGATGAACATTATTATCAGTAGTCATGGCTGCTGACTTTACATAAAACCTGTATAAATGTATATAGAGTAGTTATTTAGATTTAAATCTCTAATAACAAAAGTTACAATTAAGTATTTATGACCATTATTTTCTATAATTACTCACAAATTACTCATTTATTCGATTATTTATTTTATTATTTCATATTCAGCCAAACTTTTAAACGACGGCAGTGAAGGGCACAAAAATTGGCAGTTGTTAGCAGGTTAAAAACATAAAGTTAGGATTGGATTAATGGAAGAAGGAAAGAAAAGAAATATATGAACGATCACAACAAGGGGAAGTGCTTCCCGGAGAGCTTTTCTATGAGAGAGTGACCGCTACTTAGGTGTTATACACGTGAAGAAAACCTGGAGCTATGATGGAGAGACAAGGTGACAAAGGATTTGAGAGAGAGGACGCTTTAGATAGAGAGAAGTGGAGAAGACAGATTAAAGATGGGAATGTTAACTCCACATAAACATGAGAAGAAGCAAAAACAAAGCAAATTCCACGTTCATCAAGCACAAACACATGTCCATGTGTTCAACGGCTTTACCCCCTCAGCAACTGGTGGACATGAAGAATTATCCTCTTTGTTCGTGAGGTTTATTCGAGGGTATAAAAGGCGTTTTAAATCGTATCCATCAAGGATTTTGCCAGGCTCATAATCGGAATGAGAGGATGATGAGAGAAGGGTCCTTCAGTCATGTAAACGTGTTTTTGTATATAATATTATTAAATAAAAATTTCTTAGAATTTTGTATAAATCTAAAAAGACATAAAGACAAAATATATTCTGACCTACATTTAATAATACGCTACCTTCATGCTTCTGTAGACATAATTTTTAAATTCTATTTTTAACTCTTCTACATTTACCTCTAATCATTAATTAATTATCTTTTAATTTATAATGAATTTTTCTATAATTAATCATTTAAAGATAAATACAATAAGAATTTATTTGTTATTTTTCAGAATAATTTGGATTTGAGCGATATTCTGTTGTAACTAAGAAAACATTCTGTATACACATTTATTGTGTAAATACGTAGAAAATAAACACTATATTGTCACGAGGAAACGTAACACTTCTTATAATTAATCACTATTTAATGGCTTAAGATATGTCAAAAGTTTTCTTTTTATCTGATTAGGTTGAGGTATTGATTTCGTCAAAAATACTCGATTAATTCAGTAAACTCTCATGATGAAAGCAGACTCACTTTCTCCACTCTTCATCTTATTGTTTTCACTTGTGTTTCCAGTAAACTTGTTACCCGAAAATGAATTATACAATAACAAAGGGAAAGAAAGTAAAGAAACTTTACATTTTTTACAAGGCATGGACACAAAAATAAAGAATTTAACTAAAGTTTTAGTGAAGAATACTTTGCCTTACATGATGAAGATATCCGAAGAAGTGAAGATATCGTCTTCTTGTATGAGGAATTTAATGCAATTCGCACAAGATTTCACGAAATTGAAAGACTGGACCTTCAGATGTGAGTAAATTACGAAGTATTGCTTGATATTAACAGTTATATATAATATAATAGCGCAATTTTTACAGTAAAAATCTTCTTTTTTGTTATTTTAGTGTTGGATTCCATCGCTAAACTCCTTTCGGGATTTTTAAGAGGAACTCTATGGATGCAGGAAGATTACGATCAATGTCTCAATATTGAGAGTTCTGGAAATAAAATAATTAGAGGAAAATTTTGCTCAGTTCTTTTAAAATTACCTAAGTTACGAGAAAATACAGTAAAAGATATTTCATCATCTGAGATTACAATCGTACAATTATTGAAAAATATCATCGTGAGTACGAGTAAAATTTTAATCTATTATTTAAATTTAATAAGAAATATTAAGATTACTTAATTAATATTAATTCTCACGTTTTTCTAGACACCAATTACTATAGCTCAAGGACTTAGCAAAGTGGAAGAATTGCGTATTGATGTTTGTATTCCGGATGATTGTAACGTAAACGACTTGGAAAATGTTGGAAATTGGAGTAAGTTCTTCATAGAAATTTTCAAAAAATTCGAATATATATCATATTATATTATATGTATGTGTGTATATTATATATATATGTGCAAGGGAAACTTCTTGCGTACTACGAAAATATCTGAGGGACACCTAAGCCCTTGAATGGTTGGGTTCGTGTTATTTCAGTCATTACAGTCTGTGGTAACTGATAACCCTACCAATCACATTACAGACTTTAGATTTATTGTATTTATACATACAAATTATAACAAAATTAAACTTTATTATAATTTTTAAAAAGTTATCAATGATTTCCTAAAAGTCGAAGTAGAATTCTGTAAAACGAAAGAAGAGAAGGAGGATTATTCCCTATCTCAATTAATCTGCTTGTAAGTCCATTTTTACATTTATTTTTGTATTTTTTAAACAACTAATAATAAAAATTAAGTAATAATTAACATTATAAATATTATTCGTGTGCATAAATATATTCAAGCTTAGCTAACTAAGCTTTTACAGAGAAATAAGGGCATAATATTAATTGGCATAACGTGGACACTTATGTCTTGTATATGAATGCCAATTCGTTAATTATATAATTTACACAGTAACTAATTTTCTTTTCGATAAGCATAAATATATAAGGGAGCTTTACATAAATTAATTATTTTTCTATTTCTGTAGAACTGCGTTAAGTGTGTTAGTAATTTCTGTCATCTTAGCGACAGTAGTACATACTTTGTTGAAATTACAAATAATTTCTAATGAGAAAGTCAAAGATAAGCTAATATAATATCAATATATAAATAACATGGCAAAAAAACTGATATATTTACTGTATATTCGTTACGATTTTCCATGCAACACCTGATGTGTTGGCTATTAATTAAGAGATTTATACACTTATATTAGCAGAAATTATTTAATTGTTTAACATTTATATTTACAGGAAAAATTGTAGACGGTATCACTTCAATTTCGGCATTAACTACTGTACAGAAAGTATTTTCCAGCAATATTTTGGAAAAGACAAGAGCCTTAAGTGGGATTAAATTTTTAACAATTACAAGTATAATATATGGGCACGTGTTTACCTGCTTTAACGCAATGCCTACTATTTCGGGTAAGTCCTTATAATTACCATGTATTGTACTTCAATTCTTAGTTTCATGGCTATTATGAATAACAGAGGAAAAGTATGGAAACCGGTCAAAATATGACCCCCAAAATTTTTTGAAATATAGAGAAATGCAAATAATTCCGACCATTTTTTTCCCCTGTATGTGTGGATGTTAGTGTGTGGGGGACACGATTTGGTTTCCTCAATTTGAAGCTTAACTCCTGTGATTTCAATTCAAAATTTCTGAAATTTTGCAGGAAGGTTTCTTTATTAAGGAGCTTGATGCTACTAAATTTTGGTAGTTGAAGGTGGAAGGGTTGGGAAGACAGAAGGGAATCACTTGTCATATCTCGAATAGGGTCGGGCATAATGATTTTACTCCTTATTTATTTACAAAAAAAATTTATTTATGGATCAATTCTTTCTGATTATAATAGAGAATCATATGATAGTGGATCATCAGGAACGTCCAGTAATCCGTCACGCTACTGGCTATTTGGGAACGTAATGTTCTAATGATGCCGGATGAAGTTTTGCCTGTTTGCAAGATTTAGTCAAGGCCAAGATGTAGTTTTGCCTGTTTGTTGAAGATGTTTCTATGCTCGTTGCAGGTATTTCCATGCTCATGGTTATATTGGGAGGTTCCACCATGGAGTTGAGACCGATTTGATAGAGATAAACTACCCATTTAATTACAGATTGATTAAAAAACCCGCTTAAACAAATCGAAAATACGAAATTACTTGGTAACAGCGCGGATCTGTTGCCATAAAATTGTCATTTATTCGTACAAATTTAATTTGAACGTAATATAAATCAATACATAAGTATTAAATTCTTATATATACTAAACTTTTTCAGAAAAATATTTAAATTTCCTAGACATGATGAATAACATAACAGTAGAATTTGCCGGAAATTCATTTATATCAATAGAAACTTTTTTCTTCATTAGGTAAGATATAACCATACAAACATCAATATTAAATTTTACAAAAAAAACCCCCTCTTAATTTGATTTTAATTTAATTTAATCTAGCGGATTTCTGATATTTTATCTACGAAGAAATAGTAAAGGTAATTCAAACGCGCGGTATCTTCAATTCTTAGTAATCCGAACCATGAGGTAAAATATCTGATTATGTTAAGAAAATTGCCTAAAAAATCTGAATTTCTTAAATATATTCCATAATTTTTTTTCAGATTAACTTTACCAGTTCTTTGTATTTTGGCTACGATAATTATTTTACCAATTTTGGGTGATGGACCACATTGGAAAAGCGTTAAACGTGAAGTAGAATTTGTCGAACAAAATTGGTGGAAAATAGCAATTCACATTCAGACTTACACAGATTATCCACTTAATGTAATTATATAAATTTTTATATTCATATAAAAGTAATCTTTTTAAAATATTAATTTACATAACCATGAAATTTTGAAATTTCAGTTTACTCATTATTTATGGTTTATGAGTAACTTGATGCAACTGACAATTCTTACAGTGCCATTGCTGTTCGTATGTGACAGGTAAGGAATTAAATTATTTACCTGACAATTTATTAAATGTATAGGCTATATAACAGAGGGAAAGTATGGCCATTGGTGAAAAAAATGGCTAAGCCTTTCAAGATTATTAGTGGTCCTTGAAACGTCGAGAAATACAAAAGAATTTGGGAGTAGTTTTCTACATGTATGGATGTTATTGTATGATTTTCTTCAATTATTTTGAAGCTTAATTAATAACTCCAATGCCTTTTGTAGAAAATTTCTGGAAATTTATAGAGAGTTTTGCGTGTTAGTGACATTAATGCTATTAAATTTTGGAGGTTAAAGATGAAAGGGTGGAAAGATAAAGGGTGTCACGTGTCGTATCTCAATTGGGATCTGATTTAATAGAGATCTTATTCATGTCTATCACCAGAATTCGCCTTTTGCCATTTTTTGTTTTGAATTTTATATTTCATGTTAAATACAGTGACGCGTTAGAACTTCATGAAGCCAATGCAAATTTGAATTAGGGGGCTTCACGTACCATGTTGACTCCGGACATTTTTCTTCAGAGAATTTTTGTGGAAGTATTTTCTTATAAAAGATTGGTTTGAACCCCCTCTTAGTGCGGGCTTAGGCAACTGTCTTGTTTGCCCATGGGATAACGTGCCACTGGTTAAAGATACAAAATTTTTATTGGAATTTAGACCTATTTAAGTTTCCAAACATGTCACCAGCCATATTTACCTTTTCATTAATATTTCACTTATAGTAACTATATCTTGAAAACAGAAGTACCAAGAAAGAGTGTACTTCTTTCTGTTATACATACAGACAAATAATTAATTCACCTGAAATTACATAGAATGTCTCTATTTTATTAATAAAATTTTATATTTTGTTATTTCAGATGGCCAAAATTCGGTTCCTTTATGATGTTCGTGTTAATTATTGTTGGTGCTGCTTCATACGTGACTGACGTGATGATAAGAAAATACGTTCCTTTCTTTGCACATTCTTTTAATAATGAGTATGGTTTAAATAATAATAAACACTTTAAAATTTACATAAACATATTAATCATATAGTGCTGCTGAAGTTTTGCTTCTTGGTGTTTCATTTATTTTAATTTCGTTTGTTAAAAATTCAAATTTTAAAGCAATTTAATTGTATGAAAGTAACATATACTATACTTTTTTCGTAGGAAATTTTATTCTTATTTACACAATAACTATCAAAGACCTTATTTCTCGCATCTTAGTACCTATTGCACTGGTTTATTGATTGGAAATATTCTATCAAAGAAAACACAGTTAAAATTTAGAAAAGTAAGTTAATATTTTATAATTTTCATATCCTAATACACATGAACATTCCAGCATAAATCATAATACAATTTGTTTTCTCAGATTTATTGCATAGTCTTGTGGACATTTTCATTGACTTTAATGGGATTTACGGAGTTTGGATTGCACAAACAGATCACTGAAGTGTCTCCAAACGAATCCTTTGTACTTATTCACAAAGCTCTGTCTCCATTCATGTGGACAATTGGACTTTCTTGGATATGTTTCGCTTGTATAACTGGACATGGAGGTATGTGTATTGCATGGTCTTAAAGCATGGGATTATGATTGCATTATACAGTCGATCCCCCTATAAGATCATTGATTTTTCCGTTTTATCTGAATTACATGTTGTACGAGTCACTTAGATTTTACAAATATGTGTGCCGTTCTGTGCCCGGCTCACGTATTTGTAAAATCTAAGTGACTCGTACAACATGTAATTCAGATAAAACGGAAAAATCAATGATCTTATAGGGGGATCGACTGTAGTTATGTAGAAGTTAAAGTAAAATTATAATACTTCACAGATTTTAAAGTAGCATGACTAAATCTTTCTGTACATTTATTAATAATTTTTATTTATTTATTTTAGGTGTTATTAATAAATTCCTTTCTATGAAAGTCTTTACCAGTTTAGAGCGAGTGAATATATGGCTCTATCTACTTCATCCTCTAATAATACTTTACATTTACGGTCATCTTAGAAAAGCTACAACGTATGAAGATATTCATGAGGTAATATTAAATTAAATTATTTTATTTTAGTTAGTCTATATACCATTTATTACGAGATACAAGGCAATTGTGTTTCACCTTTCTCTTCCTACTCCCTTGATCTTTAATTATTTTGTATAAATTGTGTATCTATTTTGCGTAATATCTCAGAACAGGGTGAAGGTAAAGAAACAAAATTTAGCACGGTAGCTTGTATATAAAGGGCAATGATGCTATTAAATTTTGGTTGTGAAAGGTCAAGGGAATGGAGAGATACGTGTCATATCTCGAGAGGGCTCAGACTTAATTAAAATTTTACTTGTTGCTAGCATTTACATTGTTTTATAAAACTCATCTCTACCCTTAAAATTAAGTCTTTTTATATTTTATAATAATTAAAAATATATAAAATTTTTATAACAAAATCTCATAACAGATGGAGTCACATACAATTTTACTTATTTATTTTGATTAATACAAATGTTATTTTTAAAATAAAATCTCATAAAGAGAGGAAAGTTACGTAACTCGTTGCTAGCTTTGTGTTGTTAACAATATATATGTAACCTTATGTTTATTTCTAGTGGATGTTGTTCACATTGGTGCTGTTTCTTTCTCTGTTTGCATCCTATTTCTATTACATCTTCATACAAGCTCCGTTGGACTTTTTGACTTCCAAATTGTTACCTTCAAGATCAAAAGAAAAATCTTCAGTCAAAAATTGCGAATTGCCAACCATGAATACGCAACTGTAATTGTATTGATACTCAGAATTTATGGAAAATGAACGGTTAATTTTATTGAAAACTTTCTATTGTATCCTTTTAATATACTGTAAATACTTAATAGATTATTTCATATAGATAGATACGTGTATAAATTCAATATTATTAATTAATACATGCACTTAAAGTATTCCTCTAAAATGTCCTACTGATTTCAAGGGAAAAAGAATATTTTTTCTTGAATCAATTGAATACCACGAGTTTTTTGAAACGTTTGAATTCCGTGGTTACTTGATTCGCTTCACTCGCTCGTCCCATGGGCTTTTGTCCACTTGTTGAGCTAAAATTTCTAAAAATTGTAGACCTATAAATTCCCACTGTCGTTTACCTGTCTATAAATACCCACTGTCTGTCCTTCCTTAATCTCGAGAACGGAGTTAGTTAGATGAAAGTTTAGACCAGATATTTGGCATCTCACGTGTAATTAAACCATGCTACGTTTCTCTTTTGGCCTAACCCCCACCTCCGATCACTTCGCCCCTAAACCCAAACCATCTTGGCTTCTCCCCATGAGTTTAATTCATTTGTTCGGAAAGTGTCGTGGCGATTTTAAGCTAAGTATTTTATATAGAGACATTATTATTAATGTTTTTTAAACTTTTTAAAAATATGTAAAAATATCCGGTTTATAGTACAAGCAATAAAATTTTTTTTTTTTTACAGGAATAATGTTAAATTTATATATATATATTTAATTGAATGCATTGTTGAAAGAGAGAAAACTTCGTGTTATACAATTGATATAAGACGATAATAAATCAAAAAATACAAACGAAGATAAGTTACAGCAGTTTAATAATCAATCAAATAATCACATTGACGTGCCTAGTGCCCGTCAGATAATGCCTTCTATACATTTGTCTTATATCTTAAAGCTAAGTGACTCAATCTCTGTAGACTATCTCCTCACTTATTGTGAAAGTTTTCCTTTCTTGTTCGTGCCATCCATCATGCCGAACACTGAAGTCTCCACGATTCCTCTCATAATTCATTCAAGACATGTTGAAATAGTTGCGCTAATAGTATTTTGTTATGATGCAACCATACATCATGATGCAGAAAATGCATTTCCAGAATACTTAGCTTTTATCGAAATTAATTGTTTTGCTTTTCCACATTTTAATCCGTGTATTAACTCTAGTTTTGGTATTCTATCTTTACGTTCTTTCTGCAATTTAAATCATGAATTACTTCGCTTTTAAATTAAAATTGAATCTTCTACCACAAATTTGAGATCCATACATAGTCTATAGTTCTTCCTTGCTTCTACATCATTCTTTAAGTTCCTCTTCGTTTTCCTCTTTGTTAATAAGAGTGATGCCATCATCAAGTATTAAATTATCAATTAAATTATCAAAAATTAACATATCTAGAATCGAAGTTTCCTTACTATTTTCTTTATCCTCATCCATTGCATTCTTCAGGTGTGACTATCGAATCACCTTGCATCGTTCCTCTTTCTATACTGAATCAACTTTGCCACATTTCTACAAAATAACATTTAAATTATCACTATATATTAGTAGTTAAGATGCAACAATGCAGTATTTCCAGTACGGAACACATACTTGATATAGTTTTCATCAGATGGCGCCAGAGTCAAATACTTCCCCTGCAAACGTATTGAGGGAATTTTTTTTCTATTTATTTATTTATTATTAACTGATACAATCACTTCAACTATAAGAAAGTATGGCATATTAAATATAATATATTTATATTATAATATAAAGTATGAAAACCTATATAATACTATTCCTAACTTATACAGATGTATTAAGAAATAATAAATATCTGTAGACATTTTTTGTAAATTCGTGTTAATGAAAGTGTCTACAGTAAAGTACTTTAAATATATGAATAAATAAACATTTCGTAGAGATTAATATTAAATTTAATTCATAGATGGCAACACGAGTACGAAGCCATTATAAACAATACACTGACGTAACACTACAAAAAAACATCATTTACTAATTATATACAGTTTTCTACGTGCTCATATATTTGTTATAATTAGTACAGTTGTACAACTGTACTTAAATACGTGGGCAGGGTGCCGTTCGTCAGTAAGGACCTGTATCCGGGTCTTTCCGGTCACAAAAGGTGAGTTCAGGAAGTAGTGTTGGATTAACCACGTGTGAGTCAATCCAATCCAAATTACCACATAGGATCTGCCATCAAACCGATTAAAA